CATCTATCCATCCATCCATTCATCCATCCATCCTGTATACATCTATCCATCCATCCATTCATCCATCCATCCTGTATACATCTATCCATCCATCCATTCATCCATCCATCCTGTATACATCTATCCATCCATCCATTCATCCATCCATCCTGTATACATCTATCCATCCATCCATTCATCCATCCATTTTGTATCCATCGATCTATCCATCCTCTGTCCATTCGTCGACAGGTCACCTTCAGGCTTCGCACGCCGAACGAGTGAATAAATCGAATTCATTTTAATCAACTAACTTTTTTGCTTATTTTCAATGAAATACTTTCAAAGTTAATAGATTTCCGCTTAAATTATTGTCAATTTGAATTTCCTTTTTAACACTGTTTTTTTCTTCTGTTTTAGCTTCTCGTCTGCCTCATTTTTGCAATTTTCTTTTGGGCTCTTGTCGCTTGTCTGCTAACTTATCCTATAATGAGCGGAGCCCTGCTCTTGTACAGAGATGCCGGGCCCGCGCGCTCACTCACCATAGAGGAGCCACTAGGCCGTATGGTTCGCCAAGATGAGGGAGGTTTTGGTGTAACCGTGGCACCTCGTCTTTCACGAGTCGGTGGTCTGGACATCAATCCCTCGGAGGTTATTGCCAACTTTTTTACCTGCGATCCCACCAAGGTTGATCTCTCATATTATGGTGAGTGTGAAAAATAATCGCCAGTAAACTTTGTACGAGGAAGGACTTTTGTTTAAATGAATTTTTGGGGTGATTGGTAGGACTCTATAAGTCGGACGGGAAACCAATGATGCTCGATTCAACCGATCTAGTTGCGAGATTGCGAAACCCCCTCATTTTCGTGTGTGTCGCCTACCTTGGAGCGATTACAATTTTTCTCTCTTACGTAAGTTTTTTTGCTTAATTTTGTTAAGTAGGGCAAATTACCTAACTTTATTAATTGGCCAAAATTGAATTGCCATGTTGCCCAAAAAGTGGAGGTATAGGAAAGTAGCGGATGCTCTGAAACGAAGACGGTTAGCAAAACTGCAAAAACGGAAGTGCCCAGGTAGTTGAGTGTGCGTTTAAACACGTATCGCTTTTACCACTACTTGTTGTTACTTTGCATTAAGACTTTATTGTGCCTCTCTTATAATTCTTACTGTGTTTAAAATGTTTTTTACTAAAACTATTTAAGTAGAAAATTTATTTTACGGCCTTTTTTGTAAGATAATGCTGGGGTGTGCCGTGGCGATGAATTTTGCGCGGTTGAAAGAACTGCGTTACTACGAGCCATCGGTGAACGACGACGAAACCATCCGACTGCGTCATTGAATCCTGTCGACTTCTGGCACCTCAACGTAAACACCCGCCTCCATAACGACCATCCTGCTGCGTCTAGGCTTGTTAGCCGCCCACCAACAGGTTGTACAGGAGACCGCCTTTTCCCTGCCCATATTTCGTCTATTTTTACAGTGCTTCCTGCATGTCATCACCCCACCCCTCATGACGCATAACAAATCAGAATGATTCCTCCACTTGACCAATCAATGTTATCGGTACATTCTTTCATACTCCACCCTCGTTATGTGCGCTACTTTTTCATTCCTTCTAGCAGCAATAGTAGGTTGTGTAAATAAAGTGAAAATTTACATGTTACGCGATCTTAGACACTTGTCTTCAAAGATGGTGAAAAATATTTCCTCTCCCAATACTGTTTTACTAGTAACGGTTAGCTGAATGGAGTCCTCTAATCAACCAGAGAGTTAATCACTTTCTCTTTTAAATACATGGGAGAATGTGAAGAACGACTGACTCTTGGCCTTAAGTAAGCGAAATGTGCGAATAAAGTTTGAGTGAATATGGGGTGTGGGTATGTAAAGAGATGGACTCCACCCGCTTTTCTTTAAATTCGCCCCCTCCAAAGATCCAGTTGGCGGAAATTATTAAATTCGTAGAACCGCGCCTGAGGTAATACTTTGACGAGTTAGTGTTGCGTATCTCTTCCATGGTTGCCCAACTTAGCAGTGCACACTGAAGGCTGTGCCCTATTTATCGCTTCTACGGGGAGGAAAAACTTACTTGCGCATCTTAGTAGGAGTAGACATGCTGATATAACGGTCGGGATTGGAGAAGCGTTCCACCCACTCGCAGAAATGGTCGTCAAAGCTGTAGTCTGGGAACTATCACGGCCGAAGGGCTTTCACGATAGACGAGAAGTTGGATTTCTTATGCATCCAACCTTCATATGTTTTAATGCTGAGCGGTCGAGCTTGTGAAGATTTTTCTACAAGTAGACATCTGAGAATTCATGCTTCATTTCTTGGTTCAAATATACTTTACTGCCACACACCATCCATCATAGAGGCTAAATACAGTTGTCTCCTGTCCTGTTGTATCATAAGAAACAAACAATTAGGTGTAGCAAGTGGCACTAAGCTAAGTCGTCCGCAGGCTCTACGATTTTCCGCGCCAATTTGCTGGGACTCTGCTGCCTGTCTCCTCGCCCTTCTGGCTGTCTAGCGTAAAATTGACTTCTTAACTCTTTTTTTGGCCCACAAAAACTAAAAATGTTAAAAAATTGCGATGTTATAAATGTCACTGACAATATTTGGGGAAAAATGTCCAAAACTGTTGGCTGGATAATGGAGTCTTGGCATTAGAAACAACCGAGGCCTTTAGGTGATAATGACCAGTAAGGCGAACTGAACGTGGTTGCGAGATCCTCAATGTTTCAGGATTTTTTAACGCAAAATGCGAAAAAGAAGACTTCTGGAAAGTCAAAAGTAGGGGGGATTACTAAACCTAGAAATACACTTATCATAACCTACCACATTATCAGTAGGCTCGTATGTCCTCTCAAAATTAACCTAGTGTTGTAGCTGTTAGGGAATCAGGAACTGCATGCATGTATCGCTAAGTGAAATTACTCCTATGTGAGCTATCTGTTGCCACTTTCATTGTGGACGTTTATTTAACTATGCAGGTAAAAAAATGCATAGTATATTTCCTGTGATCACCCCCCCACCGTTTGCAATGACGGTTTAATAATTGCAACAGTGATTCTTTCTTCATCAATAATGACTTAGCTCATCGCCACCTCAAATGATAAATGGGAACAAAGCCAATACTAAGAGAGAGGAATAATGGATTCCCCGACTTACATTCGGAGTTTGTGTGTTAGTGATTTAAGACATTAGGAAAAAGGCAAACAACATGGCGTATACTTTTGCAATTTGCTTAAGTCACGGTAAAAACAATGCTTAGTTTTCGGTGCTAGACTTGAACGTTTTGAAAACGTTCGTTGAGGTGCTCTTGGCTGTACTCAAATGCAATAACATAAATAGTTGATAGTGGTTTGACAAAGCATTCCCTATATAGTCATAAATCCTAAGCTTCTTATTGTAAGAACATTTAAAAATTCTTTGCAGAGACTTTAGAATTTCTAGCTATTTAAATACGCTATTTAGCAGTTGGTCGATGTTCTGCTCCTATTTGTTGCACTTTTAAACCAGCTTTAGGGCCCATGTTTCTACCTACTGGGTATGCACTTATTTACTAGCTAAACTTTGCTTTGACAACCATCGTTGTTTGTCACATTTAGTTGCAAATATTTTATTTCGAACTCAGGATACCCTTTTACAAAGAAGTAAATTTTCCATTTAGTTGAAGTAACGTCTATGTAATTATTGGAATCTTCTGTGAGTGTTTTTAATTCCAGCAGTAACTATTTTCCTAAAGGATTGCAAAAACCTTTAAATCATTTTACTTTTAAAAGACAGGATTGCACCGTATTCGTGGTAGCTTCCGAAGCATTTGTAATTTTAGTAGCAGTCTCATTCAAAAAAATTTTGCCAGATTTATTATCGATCTATTCTTTAATTGTACACATAATTTTGCTTATGACCACATATTTGGCTGATGCTAAGCCGATCATTACTACGGGATGAACTGCGACTTGATAACTATGAAGGGCGAAAAGCATCCCCTTCTGTCACCTCTTCGGGTGTATGATATAGACTTCCCATGGGCGATTTTTGCATGACGAGTCACTGAAGTCCTATAATCTCTCATGAAAAAAGGGCTTCTCTTACAAAACAATCAGCTCTGGCTCGTTACAACTGAACTTTCCTGTTGGGACGTGAATAAAAGATTCACTTATTTACTAGGCTTAAAGCCAAATTCGCTTACTTTATCCGGTGCGCTACAAGTGCATGACATTGTCCCATTAAATTTTTGCTTTTGTGTCCTATGCATGAAGCTTAGAACGACCACAGAATACAAGCTTGCTACTGAATTAACGGCTTCACCGCTGTCTATTTATCACGCCACGGCCCGCTTCAAAACTATAAACTGCTACTGCCAGCGTCACCCATGTGTGATAAATGCATTTTGCCAACTTATTTCAACTGGTAATACCAACTCTTGTGTCACAACTACCCTTTTTAACTTTTATGCAGCAAGTAAAATTGTATGGACAACCATTGATATTTGGTGTTGTGCTGAAACAATCAAGCAGATTGTGCTTTCGCTCAGTGGCATAGCATTCGGACCGTGGCAGTAGCCTTAGCTCTTTTGGGAGCTATTTATGCATTTTCTCCCAGTCTGCTATGACTTCTTGCAACTTTAAGATGGATTCAGAGTGGAACATTAAGAACAAACTAATCAACAAATATTACAGCTAAAATATTGGGGAAATAAGTTGTTGCAGTAAACATAGTTTAAATGACTTTAAACAAGTACAGTGAGAGCTGAAGCATCGCAAACTTAGTTAAATATAGAAATAAAAGTTGCGATATATTCCTAAAGGTTGCATGTCCTGGAGGTTCAAATAATACTTGTCGTGTTGTGTGCTGAAGATGCCTTGGAGACTAAAGAAGACGCAGTACTCAGGTGAAATATGTATTATCAGCACACAGGTGGGCTGATAAGGGTTAGTGTCATAATCCGGAGGTCATGCAACAAGGTGGATGTAACCTCGCAGAGCCTTAAGTGATTTTGAAACCAGGACGAAAAGTTAGACAAACAATCAAAGTATTTCATAGCTCCCACTCCCTTTGAGCAACGTCTCTGGCGCTCGCCTTGGTCAGCCTTCCGCGTCGGCCATCACAGTGCAGTCGGTGCTTTGGGTATTACATCCGCGAACTAACCACACCAGTCTTCGAATTTGCGTGCAGCTAAGAAGATATCTGCCCACGACTTCACCATTCTCTCTTGACAATTCCACTAACTTAAGCTCCGTCCTGTTTGGAAAATGTCCAGGTCATCATGCATGATCATCGCCAGTCGTAAGAACACTGGCCAAAAATCAGAGTCACGTGACAAAGGACGAGGGTTAGCATAGTTTCGTGGGGGTAGAATTTTGCACCTATTCTTCTTTGCCACATTTTTCTTATTCCAGTGGTACCCACCCATATCTATCTCGATGGAGAAGTAGAGGGATTATCGAATCTGAGGCATCTAAACCCACACAAAGCGCTAATCTGCGTATGTTTCAAAAACAAGTGTTTCAAAGTCAATAATGTAATACTTATATTGTTTTAATATAGCTTTCATAGAGGAGGCAAGGTTACAAATCGAATCTGATGACAGAGTCGGCGTCTCTCAAGCCTAGAGCGATTGCGGGTCCTCCCCGCGCTAAACTTTGTATTTGTTCTCCCGATTCACTTCCCTCTATTTGTTCTAAGGGTACGAGGAACAGGGATGAGGAGAACTAAGAGCCTCGCGCTACAATAAGCCACGCATTACCAATTTCTAGAGGAGCAATGACACCCAAGGGGTGACTAATAAAATCCAGCAGTGGCGAAAAGAAATAACTTCACTTGAGTTGCAAATAAAAGCAAAGCACATGTAAATGCAGTAGCAATTAAGGAAAGAAGCAGAAATTCTCCAGTCTTTCTACAAACGGGACTCCAAAGAAGTGGGCAGGACTTTAAAGCCTCATACACGGCGAACTAATAGACTAAACAGTTTCTGTAGAGAGGATGAGGTCGTGCTATTGCCGTGGCAACCTAAGGATTTTCAACATAAACTTTCAATGGAAGAGATCAAGAAGTGGCGTAGGGGGCTACGCTTATACAAATGTGCGCGAGATAACAATGAAGACAATATGGGTGGATCAGATAAATTTTAATTTAGTAAAAGATTAGAACTGGAGTTGCTCCTTGATTACATTCCATTAAACTTAAAAAAGAAACAATAATATCGCGTACAATTCCAAATCGGAATTCGTTAAATCCTCATACTTGTTCAATTAAATAATCCTAGTTAATCAATTCAGTCTTTAATTGTTTACCTGGCAAATTTTTTTTTTGAAAAACTACTGTTGTAGTTTAGCTTGAATAGAGGAGTGCGAGTCTGAATGCGGCGCGCCCTTTAAAGTGTCTCGCAAATAATTGGGAAGTGGGTGGGAAACGAAGGGTTCCATTTTACTCAATAATTTAGTAAAATAAAAGAGAATGGACATAAGTTTAAAGAAAGAAATATGTCGATGGAACATTTGTTTGTGGTAAGTAAACTAAATCTAACGAGAATTAGGATCATTTGCGCATTTAACCATCTGTTCTCAAGGCAAGGGATGTCACTGAATGCTCTCCCACCCTTTGTGTGGGAAAAGAGTGGCTACTATGGGCTTTCGAAACTGTTACCTTAGATGGCGTTTCCGCCTAAGTATTGCTCCCCACTTTTCCCCCTCCGTTGCTGTCAGAAGCTCTACCAATTCCAAAAAGAGGCGTCATCCACCGCGTGGAGGGAGGTGAGGCGGCGTCTCCCTCACATCTGAAATCGTGCATCTTCATAGGGGGAAGTGTAGAGTTTGAAGCCCTGCACTGTCATCGAAGGCTGGAACTTCTTTCCAACCGGTTAATGCTTGCCCAACTCTTCCTGATGATGCTGCTGGGACTTCCCACGGTTTTGCAGAAATAAGGTTTTAAAATAGGCAGAATGCCACGGAGGATGCACTAAGTGGTACCGTGCCAAGAGAATGCAAGCAAACAAGTCATTTTATCGAGATCTGCCGAAAATCGTGTAAATTCTTCTCTTTTTACAGAATGAGGTGGAACTTTGCGCTGTGCAATTTGACTACTGCTGCCAAATTCTTTCGAGGATTGTCCGCCCAACCTCTTATTGAGTCAATTCAACCGGTTTGAAGGAATCAGGTTTCGAATATATTTTGGCACCTTGAGAAGGCCACTCTGATTGGTTGGCTTGTTTTCATTGGGTCATATAATTGCGCCAAAATCGATTTAGTGATAAAGTAAATAAAAAGGGAAGATTAAGACTTACTTTTGATTAAATATGAGTCAGTCTAAATTGATTTAACAAAAGTGAAGTTTTTCACTAAGTAGTCAAGGAAATGAAGAAAGATTGTTGACTTTGCCTTGAGCCTGAGATTTGAGGATCGTATAAGCGAGGGAACGGCAATTTTTGTGCACCCGCAGACGTGCAAAGAGCTCAGCAACGTGGTGGAGTTTTGGTAACTGGCCCGCGAAAAAAGTGAGCATAGCCAACTTGCTCCCTAATTACAAACCTCTACATCTTCCGTCCTCAACAAATCACCAGCGTAACTAAGACAAAGCACCCACAATTCTCTTCTATTACTTAATAAAACCATGCAAATGGAAAGGTGACTTTGATAATGAACTGACGAAAAGAGAATTGCAAATTACTTTGTTAGGCGTGGCCTCACAATTCCCGCCTGCCAGGTGGTTCCACCGCCGCTCAATTTAGCATAAACCCTGGCGGGGTGATATTCCTTCACAGGAGCGGCGTGCCAGTCATGAATAAATCAAGTCCAGTACGCCGTCTTGTGTTATCCCGCAAGCATAGGAATGTAAATTCCTTCTCAATTGCTGATTGGTTAAATGTGACGGTTTTCCAAAATGTGGAATTACTTTCACACAAACTTTCCAGTTACGCCGCGTTGTATGACACCGAGGAAAATAACCTCGACCCCTCTAATTGCTTAATCTTCTGCAAGTGAATAAGCGCGTCTGTAATGCACCACACACACACGAAGGAAGCGGAGTGTTCTGGGGATTCAGTGGTGGTAATCTCAGAAGTGTGGCATGGACAGTGAGATAAAGTATTGTCCCATATGTTTAACGAATGCTCAAACCACTTTCCTTCACACATCATTCGGCCAGCAGTGCCTTCTTAATGTCACATTTTAAAGGCGTCTAGAACTTTTAACCTGGGCTGCAATTTCTATTATGACTACTGTAAGATAGCTTAAATCCCAGTTATTGAATTTAACCAAAGATCTATAGCAGAGCAGTCCAAGGAATAGGGCTTCAAGGCATCATTAAGTGAAGGCATTTCCTGTAAATGATTAAATCCGCAGAGATTCAAGGTTGAAAGTTTACAGAACCAGCGTCAACACTTGGCAATGAATAGGCAGTTCTTAGCCTAAACATGGCAGAGCAACGAGCCCCAAAATTGAAAACCTGCCTCAAGCCTACTAGATCTGCAAGTGCTCAACGCATAGATGTTGACCTCTTCACGAACAGCACTTCGATGGATCATTACGTGAACGAGAACGTAGAACTGTAACCCACGACCATCTACTTGTGGACTACGAGCTCAGACAGTAAAGTGATGAACTGGTCAGACATTGGAAAGGTGTAGGCGATTTGGATGGCTTCCAACCTGCAAAAATTTTTAACGTGAGCATTCAGCACTTGAATGACCTGCTTGAGGGACAACGAGGTGTTGTATAGTTGCACAGAACAAAAATCTTTTAAGAACACTGACATACCCTTAAGAATTTTAATAGGCTAGTGAAATTCAATCAGCCCACATTAAGCAAATGTTGCCCTCAGTAAAAGCATTTAGGACTTTCTAAAGCAAACGAGAATCTACCTTCATTCTGCAAGCCAACTCAGCCTCTGTAATCGAGCATCAGTAATGAAATGTCCCAGGTTATACTTAAAATGGATCAGGAGTATTGACGAATATTTCTAGACAAAAGATTTGGTAGATAAATAAAGTGACCGTTTTAATTTAAAAAGTAACTTTATTTAATCAGTGGAATTCAAGGAAAATTTTCAGCAATCTTAGTAACGGGGTTTATTTATGTAAAAGTTTTGTATAATGAATTAATTTGACACCTAAACTGCCCGTCGATCCGCCAAAGCATTACTCATTCTTATATGCAAAAATAGAGTTTAACTCCGTTTTTTGTCAAAATTTGGGTGTGTTATAATTTTTATTCACTATTTGTTTTACAGGCTGTCATAGTTGACAATGAAACCGTTCCTCTTTCGAAATTACCGGGAACAAATGTGATTCCTCTGCGTGTTAAATAACAAATCTTCTAAAAGTGCTCCTTATTGCACATTATGATGTTCTTTAAGATTTATTTGTGATGCCAGAGAGTTGTAAATTTGTTTTTGTTTACTAAATGTAGGAAAAATTAGAGCGTTGGTGAAGAAGGGCTTCGTACGTCGGTTCTGACGTAAATATCCACCTTCATCGAGCGCTTTAACCTTGTTTACGTAAAAAGGATAAAAAATGACAAGTCCAGCGTTGCCATCTGTTGATGTGCTATTTTACATCCTTTTAGAAAAATTGGCCAAGTAATACTTACAAAATTGGTTGGTAAACTGTACCACTTTCAGTTAGATCTTAGTAAAATTCCGCTCCTTGGGAGACGCAACGTTTTGACACTGGTGAAACAGACAACATCGTCTTCTCAGTGCAAACTCGTCGTTCTCTTCATTCCTGTCTCCTGGTTTTCAACAATTTGTACGATTCTCGTGACGCCCGAGGTAGCGAGTGTAATCATGGGGAGGGGCAAGGATAATGGTCAAAGGAAAAAAGAGATGTTTGAAGGAAAATGATGTTGATTTTACACTGTTAAGTCTCCTCTCACCTTCCCGTCCTCTTCTGCATCTTGTTGTAATGGAGTTCCTTCCATCCCAGTGGCCTCCCAGCCCTTCTCTCTGTTCAGGTATATTCTGCCTTTGTTGTGAACAACTCTGCATTTTTAGACTACTCAGGGATTGATCATCAGTCACGTCCAACTTTACGGAAGAATGAAGTATGGGGAGTAAAAATTGCCTCTTCACTAACTTGAATGCAAAAAAGTCCATCCTGCAATTTTTGCGGTTTATTTATATCATCGTCGTAACTGGGTGATGTTTGGACATTCCGTTTTATCAGATGCACCAACATCCAGCCATAACCATCTTCCGTCCCATCCCCTGGTTCTAGCAAACTTTACTTTCCGATGTGACCGTGTGAAGTCCCTTATGCTTTAATCTAAGAAAAGGTGCCAACCGCTTGGTCAAACATCATCCGGGAACAAAAGTGATGGTGATATCTACTACTTTAAATGCAAATCCCTTGATGGCCAAGTTTTGTGCAATATGGCAGCAAGTAAGGAGTCACGCACTGCCTTCTTATTGGGTGGTTGTCTAATTCTAGTTCTAGATGGCGAAGAGACTCATGCGCATCCTTGAATTCCATGCAGCAGACACATCTCCTCCAGGAAATAAAGGATTGCGTTTCCACTGCAACGCACACACATGTGAAGAAGGCACACAGTATTTCGGGGATGAGCGTGGAAAGGATCGAAGCACAGTGCATCATTCAGGAACAGGCAATACCACATCCCCTCGTCTAAAGTCATTTCTCATCGCGGGTGGGTGAGTCAGGAAACAAATCAAGGCGACGTCTCTGTGTGACTTGAAAGCGATTTAGAACAGACCGCCAATCTTAGCATTTACGACTTCCCCTTTCCATGTCATAAAGGTGCAAACGAATGGTAAGACTACATTTAGCCGTGCAAAGCGAGTTGCTTAAAGCTCTCTTTTGGGGTGTCACTGAGGGTGGGTGTACCCTCCCTCCTGGGAGACAAAAGATGTCGGGTATCTTTCATAGCGATGTCACAAATGTGGCACCCGATGCACATAGGGGAAAATTGTAAAGTTTCCAATTTCCGATAGTCGCTTAACTAGTGACAATTCACTTCAACGTTGAAGACCGTCTCACTGACGATGGGAGAATAAGTGCCAAACAAAACACCGGCACATTACTCGACCGGTCACATCATGTAGGGGAGACGGGTGGGTAGATCACCAACTCCGAAGCAATATCCAAAAACGTGGAGTCGCTTCTGACTTTTACAAATACCGAGATTATTATCGCCTTTTTGGAAAATAGCACATATTTTTCACTTATCTTTAAAAGAGAAAACTTCTGGATTTCGCCGAATTCTTCAATTAAGAGCGGAATCTATGGGACAAATTTAAAAAAGAATCCACAAGTCCAATTTCATTCTTAGCGAGCGTTGCCAACACTATTTTCATTGAAATTATTTAAAAGAGGTGGTTTATTACAGCTAATAATAATAAACCTTTTTGAATTTTCAGTTTTAATTTAGCATTCGATGGGATGATAAAAGTGGTAAATAATGAATTTATTCGTGGGCTATCAAATACGACGTAGCATCTAATCCATAGTTTTTATTCGTAAAAATAAAACACTAGAGCGTTTTGGTTCAAATAAAAGAGAAAATTTGTTTTAGTTTGTCCATTTAAAGCGCAGTCAAATGAGCTTGCTACTTGAAGTTCGTTATTTTGGCCTAATTTTGATTTAGACATTTTGGCCTCTAAACAGCCTCACAGGATATAATTTTACAGATTGTCTACCGGTGGTCTTAATAGTCATCCTTTTATCAAGAAAAAACGGTGTTTGTAGATGCCTCAGCCTGGTATTGCCACTTCTCCCATGTCGAATGCCGGGGGGGGGAGGGGGCGGGACACAGCAAGCCGCTGGACGGTATTCTACATCGGACATACACTGCATACCAATCTTATTGCATGGAAACATCTCTCATTTCCCCAAAACTCACCCATGAGTCACTGGATTTATGGCAAATTTAGAAGTTTAGTTGGAAATTTGGCCAGCAATCATGCCACATTTTCCTCCGGGCAACCGGCCCATTGGCACTTTGAGCCTGCCTCTAGCGAATAAATTAAAAATTAGCCGAGTAATGTTTCAAACACATAGCTTATCTTTTTTTGACTTGATTGACAACGGCGGGCACATCCAGTTAGTGTAGATATACCAACCAGTAGATGATGTTGAAGAGGAGGAAACAGAGTGGATACACAATTGCAGACACCCGATCCAGACATCTGGCAGTCAGGCAGTAGATCCTCGCACGGCTTGACAACCGCACTGACACCCATTTTCGTGCTTTTCGTCTATTTAAGGCTTCATTTTCTGCATGACCTACTACTGAGAGGTCAGTGGAGAGAAGTCTTCCTCTTTCGCGTAATTTAGCCTCCTTTCTGGCGGCTGTGTTGACAAAAGAAAATTCTAACAGAGCTCCAACCACAAAAGAAAAACAGGTAAAAAACCATATATCAATTGCTTTGATGTAGGAAACTCTGGGGAGTTGGGACAATACGGCAGCGCTTTGAGTGATTAAGGAGAGGACGGTTAGCAGACCAAGCGAGGTTCTAGCAGCTGTCGCCTCAAAGTCAATGAGGAATGACATCCACGCGATTAGCACCACCAGTAGGGACGGCAAGTAGGCATAGATGAGGTAGAAGCCAAATTTACGACTCAACTGAAATGCCACATTCAGACAGGTGAAACTGCCGGTTGTTTTGTAATTCCGATCGCAGTAGGTACAGGTGTGGTTGATTACGATGAATTCATTTAATTGACTATCTTCAAGTTGAACGGCTGCATTCAGCACCGGTCCGCTGCGTTTGCGCCCACTCCTATCATATCCACCCTCATTCCACCATCGAAATTCCAAATCACGCGTTGAATAGCCATAACTTCCAACGTTGGCCGAGCAGTATTGTGTATCCATAGGAAAATCCCACAACTGCATATGACAGAACAGCCCGAGTGTCAATTTTTGACTATAAGTTATCATACCGTTGGAGGTGATCCAGGCCAGGGTATTGGGTGTGGTGAGAGAGTGTGGGGTGGAGGACTTGGAATTGCGGAAGAAAAGATCGGGCAACCAAATATCACGCATGTGGAGGTGTATTGGCACCTCACTGTAGTTGTAACGATCGGCAACATCCAGACGTGGATCATACCAACGTTGGCGGAGAAGAAAATCTAACCTAAAATCCATGTCAACAATATTCACAGCACTGATTGCATTAATAAAGAAGTTTATCTCCACAAAAACCGTATCTGTTGTGGTATTGTCGGCTTCACAATGGCGTCGTGGTTTCGGTCGTTCATAACGTGAGTAATTGGTGAAGAGCCTTTTGATAATTGCGTCCAAATTGTCGCAATTGTCAGCGACAACACCCTCAAGACAGTAATCTCCAAGACCTGGTGAGGTAGCAAGCAGAGTTAGGAGAAGATGAAGCAACATTTTCTGGAAAGAAAAAAGGGTGATAATCACTTTGGAGGTATGTGTGGAATGATTACTTCTAACGGGTGAATTGAGAGCTACAAGTTGTGAGGGTTGCAGTTTTGCGTCCAGAGGATACAAGAAAAGAGGAGGAAATTGATGGTCCCTAGGCTAGAGTAGTGTCGTGGTGTGAGGATGAAGTGCAGGTTGGATTGCGGAATAATTAATTATTCAGAGTAAAGAGTATCAAAGCCACTTTTCATTGCACCTTAGCCAGACCTGAGGCGGTCCCTCGGCGACGTGACAGACGGTTAGAGGAAACTGACAGTTGAGTACCTATTGTCAAGTGTTAACACAAGTCATCTGTACAGCTTTCATTTCTCAGTTAATGTAAGTGCGAATTAATTAATACAAAAGCATGGTCTATGCTTAGCATTCATACAAGCACACTTCTCCACCATGAGAAGCGGAAGGCTTTCCACAGAGCGGATCAACGTACTCCTGTTTTTTTCATATCGCAAATCTTAAGCACTTGGAAACGACCAAAACTGCAGTCACAAGACAAACTGGTTCAAGCCTTATTTGCAAGATACAACAGACATTTTGGACTGGCAGCGACCAAAGAAGACAGCCGCCCCGACACATTGCCCTTGCCTTCAAAAGGGTTTTATGATGCACGCCTGTAAATAATCGTGAACTGCATGTCTTTAGTGTGCACAACTGTTTTTACCAAAACCTACCAAAAAGCGAAGGCATGGCTTTGTTATTATGCTTTTGGATGGGTTTTTAATAAAAACACTGCATGTTTTTTAAGCACACTCTAAATTCCAACCATAACCGTTAACTTGGAATTGATCTAGAAAACTGAGGGCAGTTATTTCCGTTCAAAGGTGAGGTAACATTTTGACAGGAGGATTGAAATTGTTAAGTGGAGAATAAAAAGGAGGCATTCCTAACTTTGTACATTGCAGGAAATTTGGACATTTCAAAATTTTTTAAAGCAAGTTATTTTTAGTATTGAAGGTGAATTTCACCGTTAAAAGCCAAAAAAGCTTTTCTGCGACTTTGGTCTTTTCACAATTGTGTTAGATCCGACCGACATGTAGATGAAACATTTTATTCTGAAGCTGCTACCTTACTAAAAAAGGAAAAAAAATGTAGGTATAAAATCGCTTACAAAACGTAAAAAAGTTGTAAATATAAAAAAACGTAGGCAACAAACTGAGTTATCTTTTAAGATATGACATGTTGGAGGCGCATTCTTTGTGGAAGTAGCTTATTTGAACCTTGTTTAAACTTGTTAAAATGATTTGTACTACTACGACCCAGCTTTCAAGAAGTCAACGTTATTGTAGCGTCAGAGAAGTCGCCTAGAAATACTGATTTAAGACAGGAGACTAGGAATTTCTTGATTTTTCCCTGTAAAAGGATGCAACCAATCCACTTTTTTCCAATAAAAAAACGGTGTTAGTGCTTGCTTGGGTAGCTCTCAATACGGTAAATTAAATGGTGCATAATCCGATGGTGTTGTGCAAAAACGGATTAATTGGGATGCTGGTTTTGAGAACATTGTGGATAGAAAAGAGCTTACCCTGGCCCGCGCAATTCATGATATGGAACTGGTTTCACTATTATCACGGTTAATCCCAAGGTCACGCCTTGGCATTGGCCAATCAGACGGCCACCTACTTATTGTCGGATCTGGAAGACCAAATGATGAGTGAAAACAAAAAGGAAATCCACTTTGATGCATGGACTAATATTCATTAGGGACGGGGTCACCTGGGATATCATCTTGCCCAATTAGCACGTGGCAAAGCTACGTTGATAAGATCTTGAGGGGGAGAGGCGGGATGAGGGGTGGGGGGATTGGGAAGTGTCTTTGACATCTTCTCTTTCTTGCAAAAGATATGATAGTTGCTATTGTCACTCCAAGTTGATTGGCTTGTCAATCAAAAGAGTCTGATTGAAATTCTGCAATAAATTATGGATGGGAAATTTGGAAGGGAGGAAGCAAGCCCTCCCATGTTGCAAACTTTCCCAAATACTTTTGGATTAATGGCAGGATAGCAGTAAAGAAGCAATGAGTGTCAAAGTTGGGATGATTTGAGGACATTTTTGGGCACATTTTAATTTATATAACAGGTAATTTTTCTGAAAAAAGGGAATTGGATCAAAGAGAAGCTTCATCCCCGGAGATATTACTGCCCTAAAGTTGCAGTGATGACCGGTGGTCGAAATGATCCAACCTGGTTTGCGTTACGGATAGTCAGGTTCCCGAATCACTTAAAAGGAACGTACTGCTCAAATTTAAGTGCCTCCAATAACTACACTCGGGTGCTGGTGATTCCTTATTACCAAAGGGGCAGCCACTGTCATTGACAGGAGTCAACACCCTTGAGGCTATCAAAGCATTGCCCTTTACTTTCTCCACGCATGTTGTAGAAGGTTTCATTGAGACACATGAAAGCTGCATCAAACAGATTGTCCCACAAGGTGGAAAACCCAGGCCTAGCCACCTCCGTGTAGATGGCTGAGGCAGTACCTTTGTCCCACCCCTTTCACCTTCTTCAAAACTTATTGCCTGTCACTTGATGTCAATGTATGGAAGTGAAACTCATTTACAAATACAACTTTTTCTTTCAAGATGACGTCACTGCAATCGAGTTGTTTAAATGTATGTCTCTGGGTGTCATGGCGCACGCCGCCACTTTAGCGACTCTACGACCACTAAGTCAGCCTTACTGTACGCTAATGACACAACTTCTTCCCTTGATGATTTGGGACTAAAACTGAACCACAGAGACTGCTAGTCTTGCATCTATGACTGTGGACTAGGTCTTAACGTTACACGAACGCACCTGCAAAAGCTCCTCAATGGAAGGGTCAAAGTGGCATCTGTCTTTGCTATTAACACCATCTCTTGATCTAGGAAAAAAAGCTGTTCTAAAATGAGATAATGTCAGACTTTTGTAATCTGAGAAAGTTTGTTTTAGGGTATTTTACAGCAAAATACTATCTTCACGTCTCTACAAGTCAATTGAAGGCTGGATAGACAACCGGAGGGTACTGAAAGAGGATCAAAGTGGTACAGAGGAATAGCAGCTACTTTAAAATTTTGTGAATGTCCGTTTAAAAGCCTCGTCTAGGATTAGACACTTCGAAGCCAGAGAACTATAATACTTTGGTTATTTGTTTAACTGTTCATTTCGGTTTTGCACTTCCTATGGGCGACTGGGCTTTGGGCTATACCAGCGGTCCTCAAGCCCTTCTGTGCGTCGGCAATACATATTCTGCCTCGGCAGTATTCCTTCTGTCGACTTTTGGGAGAACACGGGGCGCTACACTGGCGGCAGCGAAAACCGATCCCAATCCCGAAGGACAACCACCCCTATTTCTACCATTGAATGCCTAACTATTAGCGTGGCAAAAGAAATGCATATGCTGGGGATGTTAGAATGTCAAATGACCCCGAACAGAATGGTGGAAATTATATCTGCCCTCATCAAATACCCCAGTTCCGTTTTATATAGGAATGCCTTTACCAACCGAAGATGTCGATGGAGTGAAGCACGGCACAGTCCCCCTCTCCTTTTGAAGTTTCGTCAAGGCGTTCCCGTTCGTCAACCTCCCGCGTTGGCCATCACAACGTAGTTGGTGCTGTAAGGAAAAGCATCCACCAACTATCCGCACCAGTCTTGGAATTTGATGTTACAGACAAGATGTCTAACTGTAACGTCACTGATTCCTTTTATCCTGTTTAAGAACAGGATACTGGATGAGGTTTGGCGCCCAGTTCGTCTTGCCACTTTATTTGCACTTCAGTGTTGCCCAAGTGCTTATCTCCTCGGGTTCTGTGCAGCTAGTAGGGAGGTGAAGGCGGCATCGCGTGTTTACTTTCTTAATATCTTCAAACAGACACAACAAGCAGTTCTGTAATTACCTTTTTAGATGGTTCATGGCAAGTGTCACTTAAGCTGTAATAGCATACCCAAGGAAAAGGGGACCGGTGAATTCGCCAAAGATGGAGTTTGATTTTTAGTTCTCCTGTTAAGAAGCATTATTTTTATCCCATCTGCAAGCTAAAAAACTTCTTCCGTCAAGCTATAATTCATCCCTAGCAGTAAAAAATGAGTGCAAAACTTATGCTGTTTAAATTGGCCTGTTTAGGGAGGAAGTGAGCAACCGACTTGAACCTCGTGATAGAGGGATGGTCAGAATCCCCCGAAGTAGGGAAGAGCTCTGTATCCTGATCTTTTAACCTGCGTCGTTTCCCTTTAACACTAACAGACACGTACCAATCAAATCAGTCTCGTCGATTAAAGAGTAAGAAGGCCAGAGAAGAGGCGATAAACGAGGAACGTGCTACTCTGATAGCAGCGCCGGTGGACCTTCCCCTTTTTATGAAAAGTGGTTCAAAACCGCATAATTTAAAGCCTTTTTCTATCCTCAATGCCACACAATGCCCTCAATCATCCTTGCCATCCCCAAGATTTGTTTTTGGCTGCAATAGACGCTGGCGTTGCCCATGACAGTGACATCAGTCAATACTGCGACACCTAAGCTCAACTCGTCATTGATCAAGAGGATGGTAAGGAATGCTCCAGAAACCTTCAACATCTACCAGAACGTGGCTTCCAAGGCTCACCTCCAAGCAAAGTCGCTAACTACATAACTGTCCGGTTGAGACATGGAGTCCAAACACCCTCTCTGGTTCAGAACCTCCGCAACATTAAAACCAACTCGCTCAGCCAACTGGTCAGTCCATGCGGCCTCTGTGCTGTACCTTATGGCCAGATGAGCCTTCCCCTATTCCATCCTTTAAGCTAGAAGGACTTCCATGGCGTTTCCTTCTGGACTTGGGCGCAGCTAAATCAGTGGTATATCTTCAGGTTTTCTTAACCCTTTGACACAAGATTTGAATTAATTCTCCTTCTACAAGTTTACGTACAGCAGAGGGAAGGGATGGAAGAGGAGACGTCGTTAATGGTCCGTATGATTGGGACGTGATTCCTAGTGCCGAGTTTTATGTAACGCCAAAGCTGTCTTAAGTTTTGCGGAAGGCGTCTTTTCAACTTAACGAGGCACTGAAGTCAACGCAGGTGTTTCGCTACCGAAAGAAGACGCAGATGACATCTGCAGCGCTCTTTTTGGAGCTGCGGCCGACCCCACGAGCACTTTAGTTGACCTTTGCGCACAGCTGACTCACGTTTCTGATGACAACGATAGATGCCGGCGAAACCAGACCCATCTAGCAACCCTCCAGACGGATTTCACCTCCTTTACTAAAATGAGTGATCCGTCTAGCTGAAGGAATGATTCGAGATAAGTTTATTAAACCATCCAAGTCACCACAGGCCTCTCCAGTGGCGCTTGTTAAGTAGAATGACGGTGGCCTACGATTGTGCAACGACCGTAGGAAAATGAAAGGCGTAACTAGGACGAACTCATTCCCAGTACCCATATAAATGATTCGCTGGATTCCCTACACGGGTCAAAGCGGTTCTCCAACCTAGCCTTAAAGTCAGGATACTGGCAAGTGAAAGTGGCGGAAACGGACAGAGAGAAGACAGCTTTTATAATGCCAAACAGATTTTATGAATTCCAGATAATGTTCTTAGAACTCTGTAACGCCACAGCCACCTTTCAAATCATGATAAAAACAACATTAACTGGTTTGTTTGCAAAGCACAGGGTAGTTTATTTCTATGATGATATTGTCTCTAGAATAGATATTGGCGAGCATTATCCATACCTGAAACTGGCATTGGACTATCCGCAGGATGAAGGATTATCCCTGAACTTAAAAAGGTGCTTTTTCTGCAAGGTATCTTCACCTTTCTGGGACATACACTCACCAAAGACAGTATACAACAAATGAGGACATGGCCAAAACCAACTAATCAGACGGAGCTCCGCCGTCTTCTAAGCTTGGCAAACTACTACAGGCGTTTTGTCAACGATTTTGCTAAGATCTGCAGTCGACCACATAAATTAATCGAAAGACAGGCGAAAAAGAATTTCAAGTTGGAGGAAGCGCATGATGAAGCATTTAAAGGACTGAAGCGAATGCTCTACTCCGCACCGATCCTAGCACTGTCCAACTTTGAATCGGACGCTCCACCACTTGTACTGCATACGGACGCTAGCGACATAGACGTAGACGGTGTACTCTCACAAAGGGACAAAGAAGCGAAGGAATAGGTCATCGTCTACTCGAGTTCTAGACTTAGCAAAAGAGATAGAAAAGTGTGGCACAACGTGAGCTTGTTGCTATTAACTCAATGGATAATTATTTTTATTGGCACTACACGATAGCTAGTAAATCCATGGTTAAAACTGATTATCAGGTACTCATCGGGTTAAAAACACTGAAAGAGATCGACCGTTCAGTTACACGCTAATACGAAGAAGTGCAGTAATACGGTTTTACAGTTCATTACAGAAAAGGAAATGTTAAACACTCGATAGCATATTCAAAGACAACTCATAAAGGGAGAATCAGAGGTGGTACTAAAAAGATAATGGACTATTTAATGCTTATGTTGTTTAATTTAGTCCGTTTAGAGAGGAAGCAGGCAACCCACTCTAGCCTCGTGATTGAGAAGTTGTCAGAATCCCTAGAAGCAGGGAAGAGTTCAGTACTCCGATCCCCCTAAACCTGCACCGTTTTCCATTGACTTTAAATCATGAACATGCCTTAATCAAGTCAGCCTCTTTACTTAAAGGGCAGAAAGGCCAAATAGGAGGCGACAAACGAGGAACGCGCCACAACCAGGATGGTTGTCCTTAATGAGAGTATTCGCTTTCCACTGTTACAATTACAGCACTCTGTGACTTAGCTGGAGACAAAAAAGGCGTTATACTCAGAGGCAATAGGTGCAGTTGATATGAAGAAGAGCTGAGGGCTACTTACATGGCTTGGAAGAGGTACAACCACGGATCTCCTAAGTGGTCACTTACCAAAACCAAGAGGAAAAGAAACAATCATTAAATTGAGCATAATATTATGTATTACACTATGTACATTATTTAAACTTAATCGCAATTGTTAATAGGCAAAATCAGCGTTTTGAATCTTGCATGATTTTTAAATAGATTCATATAACTTGCATATTAAAGGAAGGTAAAAAGACAAATGCACCTCTCCAAATCCAGAAACCTGTTTTTTTGTAGATAAACGTGCAGAGGTGCTAAAAGTTTTAAAAATTTTTTACTTTATGACTGTGGGACCGAATGGATATTTGACCACACCTCTTAGTCAACCTTGAAGAGCAGCGCCACAGCTGAAGGGCTTCGGCGTTTCCGTTTACCGTACATGAGTGGCAACATGGAATACTACTATAATAATACCAGTGCTTACTACCCAAATGATGCCTACTATGGTACTCATATTGAGCCTGAAGAAGAGGAAGAATGGGACCGAGAAAGTTACTTGGACCCCATGTGGGAAATTCAACAAAAGAAGGTATGAAACCGGACTAATTATACTCATTACACCAAGACATTCACCGCATGGTGCAACTCTTATTTGCGCAAGGCGAACACAAACATTACTGACATAGAAAATGACTTTCGCGATGGGTTAAAATTGTTACAACTTTTGGAGACTCTCGCTGAAGAGCCATTGCCTAAACCGGACCGAGGAAAAATGCGTTTTCACATGATTACAAATGTTAACAAGGCTCTAAAGTATATTGAAAGCAAGGGTGTTCAACTTGTTTCAATCGGTGCTGAACGTAAGATACCTCTTTTAGGTATTTCTTTTAGAAATTGTTGACGGGAATATTAAAATGACTCTTGGAATGATCTGGACTATCATTTTACGATTCTGCATTCAAGACATCACTGTAGAGGGTAATGCATGTTTTAAGAAATATTCAGAATGTGCGTTTTTCTTCTGCAAAATTTTTGTTTTCAGTTTTGTCTGCATACGTGGCTTTCAATTGAGTGATAAGGCTTGATAAGGCACTAGTTGTTTTCTAAGCGTCACTCCCGTATTTTTCACTTGTTTATTTTTTGTAAAGAACTTCACGCCAAAGAGGGATTACTGCTTTGGTGTCAGCGAAAAACAGCACCCTATAGTAACGTAAATGTTCAAAACTTTCATACGAGGTGGGTTTTCCTCCATTTACTCAAGGTTTTCCCTCTGAATGTTTTAAAAATAAAGAAATACCCCTTTTAAACCTCAGTTGGAAGGATGGACTTGCTTTCTGCGCTCTCATACATCGACATCGTCCGGATCTTATTGACTATGCCAAACTCTCAAAGGTGATTGACATTATTTAATTTTTTTGTAAAAATAAAACAAAAATTACTGATAGGAAAACATCCCATTTTGCAGGAAAATCCGATTCAAAATCTAAATTATGCCTTCGATGTGGCGGAGAAATATCTTGACATTCCCAAGATGTTGGACGCTGAAGGTTCGTTATTTCTTTGCTGTTGTTTCCCCTGCTACCTTTCATGTCAACAATAAAGTCAATCAGATGTTTCTGGAGTCATCTATAATAGAAAACTTTACTCAGGTAGCTTTTTCGACCCTTTACGAGTATAGGGGTGAGTGACGTTTGTCGTTTTGTCGTTGTGGATGTTACACCTTGAATGTATTGGATTATTTTTGAAACAAAATAAAGGTCTCTTTTTTGGTAATAGATATGGTTAATACAATTCGACCGGATGAACGATCTGTTATGACCTATGTTGCTGCTTATTATCATGCATTTGCAAATGCTCACAACGTACGTTCTTAAATTGGTTAAATGTTTTCAGTGAGACCTTTAAGGTTGAGTACCTTTATTTACATCTTAGACTGAATCAGCTGCTAATAAGATAGCAAAAGTTTTGAAGTCCAATCAAGACACGGAAAAATTAATGCAGGAGTACGCCGCTCTGGCCTCGGATCTCCTTAAATGGATTAATAATCAGATCCCCTTCCTAGCGGTACGTTGACCGGTTTCCATTAAAGCCTAGGATACTGTAGGGTTCTTCAGTGTAAATGCGGGTTTATTATTAAAATAAAAAGATTGGTTGATGAATGACGTGAGTAAACCAGAGTCCTACTAGTGGTCATAATATACTCGACCAGTAAATGAAGGTCTACGGAAGGATCTCAATCACCTTAGTGGTACATTTACTCGGTTTTGAACGAATTCACCATTTGTCCTTACGAACAGGGTCTACCGGGCTTAGAGTTCTTAAGAGTAGAGAAATATGCTTAAAAGCGGTGACACAAAATCGACGACTTTCCTTCGTTTGTGCGTCTCACCACCTTGTTTTTATTTTGACTCTATCCAATTGTCTGTCTAGCTTTCCTTCAATTACTAGAGACATAAAGGAGGCCTCATTTTGCTTGCAAATCATAGAACCCGAGTCTTCTAGTGAAATGAGAAACTTGTATCACCGCTAAAATATGAATGTAGCCTCAACAACCTCTCTTTGTAAGATTTTGTGGCTATAGCTGTCCACAAAATTCCTACTTTTGTAGCGTTTGAACATGGTATTTAGTGGGTGGATTTGCTTACCACCGCCACTAATGCAGCCGCTAACCACCATTGAAGCTGTGATATTTTGTCCCAGGAGGGAAAATATAGGCATGAAAGTCGGGTCACGGAGTCAATAAGAAAACTGAAGCCTCGGAGTTTAAATAAACCACATAATAAAATGTCCACCCTTATAGGATAAAACAACGGATGGTACTTTGCCTCATGCCAAAGAAAAGCTTGCTCAATATACGGCCTACGGAGGTTCAGCGAAACCACCACGTGTGGAGGACAAGGCGTTGTTGGAAGCTTTAAATAATACAATCCAAACGCGTCTGAAACTTGCTCACAAACCTGCCTTTATGCCACCGGCAGGGCAGTCGATTG